AATCTGTGCTGCTTACCCCCCACCTCTTACGTTCATACAACATAATCATTCGGTTACCCTCCATCTTGACGTCCCGGGTATGACGATAAACAACATCACGACCACTATACCCAAATGATAGAAATTAAGGAGGATTTGAGATAATTAATTCATCGAGTCTAGAAGAAACCTCAAGACAATCATTTGTATATCCTTGCTTGAACCGGCTTCTAATGCTCTGGATGGAGCGGATTGGGGATAGTAGTCATGGCTGTAGGGGGCACAATCCTATGGGTAAAGGAAATTTGGATAAGTTCCACCACGGAATTTGTGAATGAGCGGCGCAATATCGAGTCTAGTTCGCTACCTCTTCGTCACCGAGGCCCGTTAGTACAGTTGGTATGACGTTTACCTGTCAATGTAAGTGTCCGGGTTTCAATTCTCGGTAGTGGATGCGCACTGCTAATGAGTCCCAAATATAGAACGAAACGGCCGTCCAGTGCTTTCTACATTCTATTGAGGTTTCTTTTAGACTCGATGAATTACTTATCTCAAATCCTCCTATATATATCATATATATGATAGAAATTAAGGAGGATTTGAGATAAGTAATTCATCGAGTATATATGTATATATATCCCTCCAATAGAAAAATCTTAGCAGACCTGGGTTTTCAAAAGTTGCCCAGTTTGGCAAACTTAGTGCAGTGTTTTAAAACTTAAGCCCCACAAGCTGTAATTATCGAGGTAAGTCTTTTCCCAGGTGATCTACATTATTGGCATTTTGTTCAGAAAATCTGATTTAAAGAAGAAAATCTTTCTTTTGTCGCCTTTGGACTGACTGTTCTTCAGTGAACCTACGCATATTCGCATACACAATCACACACACACACACGTTTAGGTGCAAAGTGTCGCTTACGCACGCTCAAATGCTCTTTTTTGCATACGCACACACACACATCTAAAATCAATTTCACACACAGAAGAAATCTCTTTCTCTCTCTCTCTCACACGCACACACATTCAAACTTTTTCTAGACATACACAAACGTACACAAACTGAATCGATTTCTCTTTCTCCCTCTCTCATATGCATAGTGACAATCACTTCTGTACACACCAAAATTTCCGTACACTCTCTCTCACGCTATATCTATCTATCTATCTATCTATCTATCTATCTATCTATCTATCTCAGTTTGGTCATATCTATCTATCTATCTTATATATATATATATATATATATATATATATATATATATATATATATATATATATATCGATCTCTGTTCATATCTATCTATCTATCTATCAATCTATCTATCTATCTATATATCTATCTATCTTATATATATATATATCGATTTCTGTTCATATCTATATCTGTTCACATCTATCTGTCTATCTCAGTCTGTTTCTATCTATCTATCTATCTATCTATCTATCTTATATATATATATTTGTCGATCTCTGTTCATATCTATGTTCATATCTATCTGCCTATCTCAGTCTGTTTTTATCTATCTCTCTATCGATCTCAGTTTGGTCATATCTATCTTATATATATATATATATATATATATATATATATATATATATATATATCGATCTCTGTTCATATCTATATCTGTTCACATCTATCTGTCTATCTCAGTCTGTTTCATTCTTTCTATCTATCTATCTATCTATCTATCTATCTATCTATCTATCACAATAAGTTTCTTTCTTTCTTTCTTTCTTTCTTTCTTTCTTTCTTTCTGTTTGTTCTTTATTTCTGTCTCTCCCGGTTTCAATCTTTTCATTTCTATCTATTTTTTTTAATCTTGAGGTGCATCGGAATTCTCTGGTCGGACGGTGTCCCCGGGAGTTGCAATTCATCGGAAGATTTTAACATAACGCGGCGACAGTGCACTACTGCGTAGAAGTGCATATGAATCGACTGAGTAGTTTAAAAGTAGCCGGACAAGCATGACGCCCGAAGAAGGAGCAGGGGACCGTCAAGTTCCACCACTGACTAGAAGATCCAGTAAACTCTTGAAATGTTAACTTCAAACCGACAAGCTATCATCGACGAGGTACCATGTTCTCTGCAGATTCGGATCACTGATCTTTGTCTCTCCCTAGTGCATACTGCTAGCGGAGCGGCCATGTTTGCACTGTAACAACAGCAAATAAGAAATGACATGATAAAGCTCAAACTTCCATCACGTGACCACAATGGTACCAAGTGAAAGCACGCATGAGCAGAAGGCAGTATGACAAACCTAGAGATAGGGATTTCTCAAGCGTAGCTTAGACGTGGCACAAGGTCAAATCTAGGGGGCACCCAGTGAGGATCGAAGAAAATGATTTTCTAAGCGTAGCTTAGATGTTGCACAGAGCCGAAAGTATGGGAGCAGCCAGTGAGGATCGAACTCACTATTCATTCGTAACTGTTTTAGCAAGACAAGCTTGCTAACCATTACACCACGCCGAGATATGTTATGGCAAACGTGAGGGTAATTTTTGACTTACCCTCGTAAATCTCTCTTTATCTGCTGAAGGTGTGTTCCCTCAGGGTGATCCCGTGACTTGAGTGCCTGTTGGGACGTAAACCCGGCCCAGAGTTCAAGTGGAAATCGTACATCCGATCTATCACTAAAGATACTGGAACAAAAATGGTCGGCTTCCTGTACCGCTCCAGTAAGTCCCTCACACCCCACCCTGCTATTCTTTATATTTACAAGAGTCATATCAGGTCGAAATGCCCTATGTGGACAGAAGCAGTCCAGACTTAATTTTTCGCACTTGATAGACTCCAAAACTGTCTTTGTCGGTGAAGATTTATTTTCCATCCTGCAACGTCTTTCACACAGACGAAACGTCGTAAGCCTCTCGTTGCTGTGTCACGATTTCTATGAATTGTATTCAGATGAACTACACTCCTTAGTTCCATCAGTTCTCACTTTCATGACTAAGATCCACCGTGCCACGCCCATCGTAGTGAACAACCGTCATTCATAAAAAAAACCCCAAAAAACTCGGCGCAGAACTTCCAAAATTCAAGCAATCATTAAAGGAAATTGAGTATTAATTCTTGTACAAAAATTTAAGCTACACAAGAACTAGTCAAAATCCTATTGTTCGTATTAAAAAAAATAATCATATTTAAAAAAAAATAATCTAATAGCCTATTGTATCATCCACTTTAACCGTTACTGCACGCTGACTCGCCTAATTAGCTCATTAATACCCACCGTAAAATCCTGTATTTATATCGTAGGCAATAATAATAATAATAATAATAATAATAATAATAAGAAGAAGAAGAAGAAGAAGAAGAAGAAGTGCCTTAAGCAACTAAAAGAAAAAAAGAACAAAAAGAAAAACGTGAAATTAAACGAAAAGTGTTACTAAAAAAGTATATATTGTATTCAAGAATTCTACAAATACTGAAAGTTTAGTGCTATTGAAGTTTTTTTTTCTTCGGCCCAAGAGCTAACGACCATATCGCGGTGAAACACCAAAAAAATCTCCAAAGACATTCTTATGAGCTAAAAATGTTTTCTGGATGTAAATAATCAGCATAGGGTTGATAAACCGTAAAGAAAAAAACGAATCATCCAATAAAAATTAAGCCCTAACAAAAAATTCAAGCACTCATTTAAGCAAATTGAGTATTAATTCTTGTATAAAAAATGAATCTACTCAAGTACTAGTCAAAATCCTATGCTTCCTATTAAAAAATAAGAATCATAATTTTAAAAAATGAATCTAATAGCTTATTATATCAGTAATGCTTGTCTTAATTCCTGACCACTGACAATCCATTTTCTCATTTACAATGCATTTCTATTGTAAAATCATTATTCATGTATTTACTTGGTACATATATATGAAATTGTACTCTACTCAAATTTGACTACGTCTTAAGCAAAACCAGTACCGACGTTGTATAAAAAATAGAATTAAACAAAAACTATTACTAAATATGTTATTTAATATGCTATTCAAGGATTCTACCAATTTTCCTAGTTTACTTATATTAAAATGTCCAAGAATAAAAGAAAATCAATCAACCATTTCAGCAACTTGAGCAATAAATGACGCAGTCCAAGTCCTGATTAAAATCCGCAGTAGCACCTAAAAAATTCGTATATTAAAAAATACGATATTAATCCCAGATTATTACTGTTACGTTAAATTAAAAACGTCTCGTAAGAATGCGTGTCTAAATTATTCATACTTGAAATTGTTTACTCACTGCAGGATTCTGTCACAGTAACCGTGATGGTAAGTGGATTTGGGAACTCACTTCGAACCTTGCTCTTCTAGCGTGAATGTAAGAGACTGGGGATTTTCCATCGCGGGTGGGGCGTTTATATAACTTCCTGTTATCTGTGTGTGCATCCTAAGTTCAACCAGTTACCTTCTAACATTGAAAGGGTCAGATCAGGCTTTAAATTGTGTACTGTTGTCATATTTAGACAGGAACTGCCCAGTCTTCTCTTTCCACTCCCGATAGAGTCCGAAAGCGTCTCCGTGTCCTTGTGGGTGACGAATTATTTCCCCTTCCCATACAGATTCTTGCTCATGGACGAGACGCCGCAAGCCTTTCGCTGCTATATCGCTATTTCCATGGAGATTACCCAGACGGACTACATTGCATAGGCCCACCAGTTCTAACCTTCGCGGTAAAGACCCACTCTGCCCCGCCATTGTAGCGATCCACCCTCATTCCCTTCGTATTCCCTGGGTGAGATTCCACTCGAGTAGCTTCTTCCCACGAACGTCTGTCTTGAGGAACCGACTCCCAATAGAATGCTTCCCCATCTTAACTTGTTCAAATCTTCGGTTAACTGTTATCTTCCACACATAACCGCATAAGCTGTGCTCTTACTCTGTAAACCCCTGCCTTGAGTGGCTCTCGGGCTTTCTATAATGTGGACATCATTGTCATAAAATATGAAGATATTTAGATGGTTCTCATATCTCTTCATATCGAAATCTCTCTTTCTCAATCTGTTCATATCTATCTATGCTTTCGGCCACATCTCGTTGAAGCACCGGTTTCTGTACGACAACCGAAGTTAAGCAACGTCTAGTCTAGTCAGTACCTAGATGGGTAACCGCCTGGGAATACCAGGTGCTGTAAGTTTGGATGAAACACAGTTTCCTGTATGTTAACCAAAGTTAAGCAACATTGAGCCTGGTCAGTACCTAAATGGGTGACCGCTTAGAAATACCGTTTGCTATGAGCTTTGATCTGTTGGTGGTGTACTGGAGAATGTCAGAGGGCTGAGTTCCAATTCCCGTTGGGTTCGTTATATTCACTTACGCGGAAATACTCTTGTGAAAGGTATCAATCCACCTCTTCTCCCCCAGCTATTGGTTAATTAGTAAGACGTGTATCATGAGACCAATGTTATCTCTGAAAAAAAGCTGCGTAATATCTACCATGTATTCAACTGTAGAAGCAGAATAACATGTATTTTTATTACTCCCAAAAAATTTTAAATTTCGGTATTAAATGATCTGTGAGTTGATATGACATTAAATAAACAAATCTATCTATCTATCTATCTATCTATCTATCTATCTATCTATCTATCTAAGTCTGTTCATATCTATATTACCTTACTCTGTTTCTCTCTCTCTCTCTGTCTATCTTAGCTCGTTCATATCTATCTATCTATCTATCTATCTATCTATCGTTTGACTTTACACAAACAGCCGAATAATTGAGTAATTAAAGAGAGAGATTGAGAGAGAGTGGAAGAGAGAGATAGATAGATCTATCTATGTTTATACATATCTATCTATCTATCTATGTTTATACATATCTATCTATAGCTGTTAAGAATTTTATCTCCGTTGGTAAGAGCTTTCTGTGGCTATTACATGGTCAGTTATCGGAGACATATTTATCCAAGTGCTTACTCACCTACCCCATTCTCTTTCAAGTCTTGTGGCATGCCAGTGATTAGACGTTTTTATCACGATATTTGGCGATGAAGGAGAAACCAGGAAGAATGTAAAGTAAACACAGCCGAATTCGAACTTAGTTTGCCGTTCACCATTTTCGGCGTCAGCACACTTTTCACCATCCTCTTCTTCCCACTTTATTCATCTATTGTTTGGGGGGTATTTGTGTATGCGCATGCGTGTCTGCGAATATTTTAGGAGTTTTGTTGAATTTGAAGCAAATTGAAGCACGCCGCTTGACGTACTTTAATTAAAATCCTCGTCTCTCGGGTTTCCGTAAGGATTTTACAGCAGCCAAGCAAACCACTGAAAATAGACGCTGGTTCGGGGATAAAGAGATCCCGAAGGCTGCGTGTAATGTCATCAACGAGCCCCAAAATTTGGCAGTGCGTCAATTATAGTTAAAAAAAAAATAAAATCGGTAAGTGTTTTTGAAAAGAACGGAGACATCCGAGCGTTTGGAAAAGTTTACGGAATTTGACCGCGAAGGCCGACGGGCTGAAATTAGGTTCAAGGAATAGAGAGTGGGAGGGGGGAGAGTAAAAAAACAATAAATAGACTCGAAATAGAGTCGATATATACAAAATGAAGTCAGTAAAATAGACAGGAGGAAAGAGAAAAAAAATAAACAAAAGAAAACAGGCTAAAAGAATAAGAGAAAAGAAATAAAAATAAGAAAAGGGAAAGAGAGGAGAAGGGAAAATATAAGAAAAAGAAAGAGAAAGAAAAAGAAAAGCGAAAAAAAAGATAGTAAACGAAAAAGAAAGAGGAAAGACAAGAGGAAAAGAAAGCGGAACTTAAAGAAAAACTAGAAGCAAATTAAGAACAAAGAAAGAAAAAGAGAAACAGATAAAAAAACAAGACTGAAAAAAATAAAAAGAAAAGAAAGTGAAAACTAAAAAGACAAAATAAATGAACATCAGTCTATCTATCTATCTATCTATCTATCTATCTATCTATCTATCTATCTCAGTCTGTTCATATCTATCTATCTATCTATCTCTCTCTATCTGTTTCTGTCTGTCTGTCTTATTGTCTCTCTCTGTCTGTCTTATATATATATATATATATATATATATATATATATATATATATATATTTATCGATCTCTGTTCATATCTATGGCTGCACATATCTATCTGTCTATCTCAGTCTGTTTCTATCTATCTATTTATCTATCTATCTATCTATCTATCTATCTCTTTCTCTTTCCCTCTCTTTCTCTCTATCTCTCTCTTTCTTTATCTCTCTCTCTTTCTCTTTTTCTCTCTCTCTTTCTCTTCTCTCTCTCTCTCTCTCTCTCTATATATATATATATATATATATATATATATATACATCTTCTATGTGCTGTATTCCTTCAGGACCTGTGTAATCAGTGTTCTACATATCTACCTTTTCTTTCTCATAAACCAGTTTTTTTTCAGGAAAAAAGGTTTCTCAACTTTTATCACTCTTCCGAGTACTGACGGGAGTTTCCTTCCTAACCTTTTGCATAAGGTAGTGTGGACATCGATTTTGAACACATCATTATTTTCCTTCCTAGTTACATGTGTTATATTTTTGTTGCTGTTGTTGCAAGTATTTGCTATTTTATAAAGTTCTTTGTGATTATGTAACGCCAGTCTGTGGGATCTTATGAAGCAGTCTTTTATTTTAAGACCTAGAGAATTCATTCGCTTGAAGCCATTTTAAATAATTTATTTGAAAGAAAAAAAAAAGGTTGTAGATGATGGTTTACACATATATAGAATCTAGATCTGCGCGTTCAGTCTTCCGTGAGTGCTCAAATATTAATGGCCTTGTGCCAGATTTTAGCTTCAGCTAAGCTACAAATTCGTTCTTCAAGATATGAAGTCTGTTTTTGGTTCTATTAGGCCGGGAAAATTGATAACACTCTCCGGGAACTAATAATGATTAGTAAAGATTTATGATCGAATAATATCGATAAATATGTAAATTGAATTACTTCGAAGCAAATTGACATTTAAACAACAACAACAGCAACAACAGCAGCAGCAGCAACAACAAAAACAACATGAGCAAATAACAACAACAAACGATTTTTAGATAACTTGGCCTACCCTCTTCAAACGATAATTTCTAGAATTACGTTATAATTTGCATAATGGCCGACTGAGTTCATTTTCTCTTTCTCGTTATCGCTCTCTCTTTCTTTTTCTCTCATTTTTCTCTCTCTCTTTTTCTCTCTGTTCTTTCGTTGTAAGCTATTTACACAGCGTGCTTCCGCAGGCGCATCTCGTAGCGTGTGTCTCACACCGAATTATGCCAGAACAGACTGAGCACTTAGTGTCATTGAGAGAAGCCAGTTGTAGGATTGACTTGACAGATACCCCCCACCCGGCGGTTAGATTCAGGTCTGCCCGACATGCGAACAAGTGGTCGACACAGCAGCACTTGTGTTGCAAGCTTTGGGGCGGAGTATTACAGGGAGTTATATAAACACCCACTCCAGAATGGAGATGAGTAGAGTCTATCAGACGTGGTAGACGAGAATGAAGGGTGTAGGGTTGACCTGACAGATGATACTCTGGCCATCGGCTGGCGATCCACCGAACACGTGGACACGTGGTCGACACAGAAAAACTGTTTTTTACTAGGAAATCTCGCTTTGAACTAGTTGCTGATTCGTCAATTCACGGCCCAATGGAAAGTCAATCCGTAGGTTTTTTTTTCTATGGGACTTGTGATCGTCTTATTTCCAACAACATTTGTGGCTGTTTTTCCCTTTTTCTTTTCCTAACTTACGACATTAATTTATTCCCTTTTACACGCACAATGTTACAACATCAGAACGTCAAAAGCTGTAGGTATCTCAGAGGTAACCTCATAGTCACCAATTACAGAATCGGGCCACAAAGAAAATGTTCACTGACAAAAACAGGACTTCAGTCATTTTTTTTTTGCAATGATGTTCACTCTGTACAAGGCCCGGGGGCCACTCGAGGTAGAGGGTTAAAGAGTAATAGGCACAATTGCGGATATGTGAGGAAGGTTACGGTTAACCCTAGACTTGAACAGGTTAAGATTGTAGCGATTGGGGAAGCATCCTCTTGGGAGCCGGTTCCACGAGGCAGTGTATCGTGGGAAGTAGCTGCTCCAGTGGAATTTAAATCTCACAAAAGGAATACGAAAGGAAAGAAGGTGGTTCATAACAGTGGGCGTGGCATGGCGAGTCTTAGCAGCGAAGGTGGAACTAAGGAGTATAGTTCGTCTGGATAATCTGCATGGAAATAGCGATATGGCAGGAAGAGGCTTGTGACGTCTCGTCTGTGTAGGGGAAGGGGAAATAATTCGTCACCCACAAGGACATGGAGACGCTTTCGGACTCTATCGGGAGTGGAAAGAGAAGACTGGGCAGTTCCTGTCTAAATATGACAACAGTACACAATTTAAAGCCTGATCTGGCCCTTTCAATGTTAGAAGGTAACTGGTTGAACTTAGGACGCACACACAGATAGCAGGAAGTTATATAAACGCCCCACCCGCGAGGGAAAATCCCCAGTCTCTTCCATTCACGCTAGAAGAGCAAGGTTCGAAGTGAGTTCCCAAATCCACTTACCATCAAGGTTAATGTGACAGAATCCTGCAGTGAGTAAACAATTTCAAGTATGAATAATTTAGACACGCATTCTTACGAGACGTTTTTAATTTAACGTAACAGTAATAATCTGGGATTAATATCGTATTTTTTAATACACACATTTTTAGGTGCTACTGCGGATTTTAACCAGGAATTGGATTACGTCATTTTTGTGGTAGATTTATTGCTCAAGTTGCTGAAATGTTTGATTCATTTTCTTTATTCTTGGAGTTAATAAATAGAAATGAAAGACATATTAATATAAGTAAACTAATAAATTGATAGAATTATTGAATAGCATATTAAATAACATATTTAGTAATAGTTTTTGTTTAATTCTATTTTTTATACAACGTCGGTACTGGTTTTGCTTAAGACGTAGTCAAATTTGAGTAAAGTACAATTTCATATATATGTACCAAGTAAATACATGAATAATGATTTTACAATAGAAATGCATTGTAAATGAGAAAATGGATTGTCAGTGGTCAGGAATTAAGACAAGCATTACTGATATAATAAGCTATTAGATTCATTTTTTTAAATTATGATTCTTATTTTTTAATA